AAATCAATCATATTTTATCATTTCAACACTTACTAATGGGTTATTTCCTAGCAGTTTTTAAAATTTTTTAATTTATTTAACTGCTTGGAATGGAAAACATTTTTTCCCCAGTAGTTGTTTGCACTAGGCCTCAGTTTGTGAGATGTTCACCATATGTGATAGATACTCAGATCAGTCCCCCAATTGATATTTAACTCGTATGATTGAACCTGACATAGCACAATGTAAGAAAACATCTCTTTGGGAAAATAAATATGTTGAGTGAGTGCCCTATGGGAATGCCAAGAACATGTTCACCAAAAGAGAAGGATCCCTAGGGAGGTTAAGCTAAGGCTCAAACTCCCCCACCTATTTTTTTCTGTTTAGATCTTACAGGAAAGATAAATATGCATATCTTTATGAATCATAGAATACTTAGAAACAGTGAGTGGCATGGTGAAGTAGAATGACAGGGGAGGGAAGGTATGGGAATTCAAGCCAAGATGATTATCTGCAGGACTGGTAATCTTAAAGTTTAGAAAGAACTATTCGGAAAAGGGAGGAGGCTAACATTTTTGGAGCATCTGTTGTATTCCAGGACTATAATAGATGCTTTACATATTACTTATAAGCCCCACAGTGATCCAAAAGGGTGATGTTAATGTCTGCAGGTATAGCTGAGGAAACTGAGGATTAGATGAACCACGAACTGGTGTGCCCAACTCTAATCATGGTTTGTTTGACTCTAAAGGCCATATTTTTTATATCATACTATGAGGCCTGTCAATTGTGCATCTAATAATGTTGGTGACAGGAAAATATAAGCAATTGTATTAAATGAGGTTATTGATTGGCAAATCTTAGCCATTAAAATTTTTTGGCTTTTTTTCTATCCATTCCCCTGTAAAATACTAACTATAAACCGTAATTATTAAGGTTTTAGCCATTTATTCTTTGTAAAGACATTTTATAAATGTGGGGTTTTTTTGTTTTTGTTTTTGGTCATAAAAGAGATTAATAAGGCTTTGAACAATATGAAGCAGCGAGTCATGTTTTTTTTGACATCCCTTCTCTGCTATGCCAGACAAAACATTTAAAGGAGATAACCAGAAAGACTTAACTGGGATCATAAATTTTTAAAAAGTCTCTGCTGGTCAGAAAACAAAACCACACAAAGCAGTGAGCAAGGGCAGGGCTAGGGACCAGTCAGCCAGTCAGGATATCAGGAACTCAAAGTGTTAAGAAGAAAGACAGAGATACATGAAACACTCTCAATGGTGAAAGCCAGGCGTGTAGCCGTCTGCCCCTGACCTGGTACAAAAGCAAGGACTGACCACATGTCAAGTCACAAATTTCAAGAATCGGTATACAGACCAGATTCTTTTAACCACAAAGCAATAAAATTAGATCCCAATAATAAAAAGTTAGCTTCAAAAAAATATGGCTTGCTCTACCAGCTATTAAACATATAGGTTATAATTAAAACTGTGGTACCTAATAGGAAATTAGTTGAATGAAATACTATGCTATTTTTAAAAGAAAATGGCGGGGGGGGAACCTCTATATACTGCTTTGGAGTAGTCTCAAGGATATGTTATTAGCAAAAAGGCAAAATGAAGTTAAGTATTAAGAATATGCCACCATATATCTAAGAAGTATGCTACCATATCTGTGTGTTTGCTTTGATTTTTAAAAACGGAATAAACAAACTGCTAGGAGCAGTGGGGAGTGACAAGTAAAGCCAGTGTCTGAAATTCAGAAGCACATCGCCACAAGTGAGCCTGTATATTGAGTTGGCCGAGTCACACAGAGAAGAATTATTTCAGATGACACTTAACCACAGTGATTTGGCTGGATACACCTAATGAAATGTCTTAAGGACCAAACTTTTAATAATCATTTTGTTGATCATAACTTTAATAATCAGTCGTATGTTATTTTGAAATACTTGCATATGTATAGAAGGATAGTACATATTAATGTTATTGGAAGCAAATTTTTCAGCATTAGACAGAAAATATAGTTATAAGATCTAAGAATCTAAGCAAAAACCCGAATGATACATATTGTGATTATTTATGGATGAAATGCTGTATTATTTGCTTGAAAATAATTGAGGGAAAAGTCGATGAGAATAGATGTAAAACAAAATTGGTTATGTATTGATCATTGGGAACCCGGATGATGACTACATGAGGATTCATCATCTATATTATTTTTTCTGCTTCTCTGTTTGTTTATGGAAATTATTTTTAAAAATTTAAATGTATGCTTGAGAGCATAAAAGTGTACTCCTAAGTAACTCATGAGTTAAATGGAAATCACAATAGAAATTACAGATATTTGGGGTAGAACAATCATGAATTTTACGTACTATTTCAACTGTATGACATGCAGGAAATACTGTACTTAAAGGTAAATTTATTGACTTAAATGCTCTAAGAAAAGACTTAAACTAAGTAAGTTCAACTCAAGAAGTTAGAAAAAGAAATACAGAAAAAATTGAGGGGAAGAGTAAGAACAAAAATACCATCACCTTATATAAATATCTCAGTAGGTTGAATTGAACCAAGGCATGCTAGGAGAGAGTTGGTCTGTAATTTTCCTCTCTTCTAATATCCTTGGTTCTATATCAATGTTATGCAGTCTCATGGAAGAGCTGGTCAGTCTAAGGGGAAATTGGTAGGATTTCTATATTATCATATATTAAATAGTTAAATATGTGCCTCCGTGCATACTTAACTGACTTAGAAACATTACAGTGTTTTTTTTCAGCACAAGTTTTGTGCAAAGATGCTGGACTAGGCACTGAGAATATATACACAATTAGGATACTCTCCCCACTCCTGTGGCACTCCAGTCTAAGAGAAGATACAAATTTGTAAATGAAAAATTACAGTCGTGTGAGAATTGTCAGTAAACAAATGTCCCAGGGCAGTGCCCTGAAGGAAGATGATTCTTAATGCACATGGCAGACTCTGGGGAAGGCTGGGGAGGTTTGGTCAAGTAGCCTCCAAGAAGAGTTGGCATTTACCAAGCAGCCTCTGTGCCTTCAACAGAGGACACGTGAAAAATCACCGGAAGGAGTTTGCCACTTGGCTGGGAGCCAGTATGTCATGAGAGCTGTCAGTGAATGTCATTTCAGATTTTGGTAGCAAGGTTCATTAGAGAATGTGATCTGTAATTTTTCTTTGTTTTAATGTCCTTGTAAGGTATTAGGGTTATGCTGGTCTCAAAGGTGTTGTGGAGTTTCCTTCTTTGCTGTTCTCTGGAAAAGGTTTTATAAGATTAGTAGTATTTCTTCCTCGAGTGTTTGTGAAGTCATTTGGGCCAGAGGTTTTCTTTGGTCAGTATGTATTAAACATTTAGTAGAAACAGTGGCCTGAAATTTCACCTTAAAATGTTGAATATGTGTCTGAAAAGGTGATACATCATTCTTATTGCCATTTTCACATAATAAAACTTCCATCTGTTCACCAAGGTTACCACAATCCACAGTTTGGTCAATGTTGTATCAGTGACAGAAATTCACTAGTGTAGGAATCCAGTCTGTTTCTAATTGTCAAATGGTGTATTATATGTTCAACTAAAAAAATAACAATGACTACCTGAGCTGTTGAATGAGACCATTCTATGCCATCCAGATTCTTTTTTTTAAAATAAATTTATTTGTTTGTTTATTTGTTTATTTTTGGCTGCATTGGGTCTTCCTTGCTGTGTGCAGGCTTTCTCTAGTTGCAGTGAGCAGGGGCTACTCTTCATTGCAGTGCGCAGGCTTCTCATTGCGGTGGCTTCTCTTGTTGCAGAACACAGGCTCGAGACGCGCGAGATTCAGTAGTTGTGGCTCGCGGGCTCTAGGGCGCAGGCTCAGTAGTTGTGGCGCATGGGCTTAGTTACTCCACAGCATGTGGGATCTTCCCGGACCAGGGATCAAACCCATGTTCCTGCATTGTCAGGCCGATTCTTTTTTTTTTTTTTTTTAATTTATTGATTGATTGATTGCTGCATTGGGTCCTCGTTGCTGTGCTCAGGCTTTCTCTAGTTGCGGCGAGCGGGGGCTACTCTTCGTTGTGGTGCACAGACATCTCCTTGCAGTGGCTTCTCTTGTTGCAGAGCATGGGCTCTAGGCACGTGGCTTCAGCAGTTGTGGCTCACGGGCTCAGTAGTTGTGGCTCGTGGGCTCTAGAGCACAGGCTCAGTAGTTGTGGCACACGGGCTTAGTTGCTCTGCGGCATGTGGGATCTTCCCGGACCAGGGCTCGAACCTGTGTTCCCTGCATTGGCAGGCGGATTCTTAACCACTGCGCCACCAGAGAAGTCCAGCAGGTGGATTCTTAACCACTGCACCATCAGGGAAGCCCCATCCAGATTCTTGTAGGCTTAATTTATTATGAGCATGCATCAGATCATTTAATCTACTTGATTTATTAGAGTTATATTTAAAGATTAATAATCTTGATGAGCTTTAATGCTTAGAATGCTTTGTCTCAGTTACTTTGAGAGATTTATTTTTAATTAAATATATATTATATTTTATAATAAGCAATATATTCACATTATTCAAACTTGAAAAGTTATAAAAAATGTCTCTCTTGAACTCGGTCCTCTAGTCATCTAGTTCCCCAGGTCCAGAACCAACAGATTTTAATTGCTTCTTGGCTGTCCTTCAGTTCAGATTCTCTGGATATGCATGTAATATATGTTCCACCTGCCCCCTTTTTTTTTTAATACTATCTATTCTGTACTATGCTTTTAACTTAGTATGTCTTAGACTGTTCCATGTCACTGCCTATTAGAGTTACTTGTTTCTTTTCTCTTATGGCTGCCTTGCATCCTAGGATAATGACAAAGATGACTACAATAATAATAAATTAATGTAACCATTGTACTATTGGTGGATTTTTAGGTTATTTCTAGTCTTACTACAGAAAAGCCTGTGTTGAATATCCCCAGTTGCTTTTGAATAACTAAATATCCTTTTTCTTGCTAGTTTTTTAGGATAGATCTTCTGTTTCATTTCAGCCATGAACCAGAGAATCAGTCAGAGTGCTCCAGTGAAACAACCACCACCCCTGGCCCCCCAGAGCCCTCAGGGAGGAGTCATGGGTGGTGGCAATTCCAACCAGCAGCAACAGATGCGGCTGCAGCAGTTGCAGATGGAGAAAGAGAGACTGCGACTGAAGCAGCAAGAACTGCTTCGGCAGGTGAGGCCACAGGTTAGAGACCAGCCTTCCACTCTTGGGGTTTTGTTTTCCTACATAAAGTTGGGTGTGTTTCATTTTGACATTTATTAGTTACAGAAGAATGTTGTTTCTCTGAAACTAGAGTGACACAGAAACATTCTGTCCAGCTTTCATCTTAGTTTCTAGTTTCTTAACTGGCCTTTGATCACATAGGCTATAACTTTTAAACCTGTATCACAAAGAGATGTTTTGGTCGTATTCATTGCAGTCAAGCAAAAATCGGAGGAAGCAAGGGTGCTTTTCCTCAAATATACAGGCATACCTCGGAGATATTGCCGGTCAGTTCCAGACCACCACAATAAAGCAAGTATTACAATAAAGTGAATCACATGAATTTTTTGGTTTCCCGTTGCATATGAAAGTTAATGTTTACACCGTACTGTAGTCTATTAAGTGTGCAATAGCATTGTCTTAAAATAAACAATGTAAATTGTTTATTGTAAAATTTAATGTAAATTTAAATAAATTTAATGTAAAATTAAATACCTTAATTTTAAAATACTTGATTGTTAAACAATATTAACCATCATGTGAGCCTTCAGTGAGTCATCTTTTTGTAATAGTAACATCAAAGATCACTGATCACAGATCACCATAACAAATATAATAACAATGAAAAAGACTGAAATATTGTGAGAATTACCAAAATGTGACACCGAGGCATGAAGTGAGCAAATGTTGTTGGAAAAATGGCTCTGATAGACTTGCTAGACACAGGGTTGCCACAAACCTTCAGTATGTTTAAAAACAAAAATTGCAGTGTCTGCAAAGTGCAATAAGATGAGGTATGTCTGTACATGGAATTGCAGACTACTATATATCTGAGGATTTCACTAAGGGGGAAACTCTGGGACATCACTTGGGGAGGAACATCTTTTACTTTAAATGAATTATTTGTCTAGGGGAATACACAATATGATATTTCTCAAATGATAAATGTTTCAGTATTGCTGAATCTAAGATGTTTTATTTAAAACAATACAGGCTATCCCAAGTTTAGAAGATCCCACAGTGCTTTAAAATTATCTACTTATGGATATTTTTTCATGTTGGGATGGGTAGTTTCTAACGTTAGAGAGCTGGAAAACTTTACGACCATTTTTATCAGTTTTCTTTCAGAAATACTGTTGGTCTTTATGTGCCATAAGAGTATATAATCCCTCATCTCAAAATGAATTTTTACTTTATCTTATTTCAGAGTGATAAAATCTAAGTTCAGATTTTGGGAGTGTGATCTTCTCAAAGCAGTATATTTTAAAATTTTTATGTAAATATTTTGGATAATAAACATGATGTGATTTTGAAAGTGTACAAAAGGTAAACGTACAGTGAAAATGAAATCTCCTTTTCCATTTCTCTAGTTCTCTTTTCTGGTTGTAAGTAGCTATCAGTTTCTTATATTTTTCCCCCCCCAGAGACATTCTCTCTGTTTGCGAACGTGAAATATACATATCTGTACTATTTTTCCTCACCTAAGTCATAGCATACTAAGTATAGGCATTAAAAATATCATTATACTCTCCATTTTTGTAGTCAGGATGTAGACATTTGAACAAGGCACTTTTTTTTCATGAGTGTTATATTTTAATAGTGTCACGTGTTAATGGAAATACATGAACTTGATACAGTCTTTGAACTCAGATTTGGGATTTGAAGAACTCGTACCTAAGAATTAAACTAAGCCATGGAATCCCAGACAGGCACACCTTTAAACTGTTTGTGCTATCAGTAACCTGCCAGTGTAATTCTAGTGTGGTTGGCACCAAAGTGAGTAAGAAAGATGATGCCAGCATATGATGTCAAGAAGTGGTCTTGAAAGAAATATTCCCTCATCCGCCTTTAAGAAGGTAGAGAAAGGAAGCACATTAACAAGATTAATGTATCTCTGATGGACTTTTTAACATATTACTATAAAGGAAAGATATTTTTCACTTAAATAAAACTTTATCATCGGAACAAGGTAGCACCATCAAAATTATAGTTATATAGCTCTTAGAAGAAATAAAGCAATTTAAGGGTATGTTTTACACAGACTGTTTTCATTTTGTTGTTACTGAGTACTAGATGGCGTATGCGTATATAATTTCACATATGAATTAAAGACTACCAAAAAAAAGGAAACCTTATTAATAAGAAAGGTTAAAGTCTGGGAATGGGCCATCCATCATTTTGTTGTTGCCGTAGATCAGCTCTCCCCCACCCGCTTCCCGCCCAATGGGCAAAATGCTGCTACTTATAAAATTCTTCATTCTAAAGAATTTTTCTAAATCTTATGCTCACTCTTACTCTGGGTGATGGGTCCTAGACAGAATAGTTTCCTTTAAAGGTAACTTCTTTATTTCTTCTTTACCACCTACTGTGTTGTCTTTTCTTTTGTTGAAGTGACAGACCTGCTCTATTCTTATACTAATGGTGTGTTTTCTAAGATTTTTTGGTTTTGTTTTTTAGCAATCAGTGTAAATTCAGTATATCTTAAGCCTTTTGGCTTCCTGTGAACTTCTTCCATTGATAGTTTCTCTTATCACTGAAGCATCAAATTATATTTTTCCTGCTTCATCTAATATTCAGAAGTAAAGAACCTACCTGACCAATATCCAGTTTTATTTGAACCCTGACACCTAAAGTCTTACTGTCCTATCCTCAATGCTGTTTAACACTTCTGAGGTTTCCGTTTGTTATGTGGCGACTCCGTTGGCTCCTGTCCTCAGTCTGCTGCTTCTTGGGCTAGCTTGGGAATTCTGTGCTATGGTGATGTCTGGATACAATTTGTAAGTCAGCCTACACAGCCAAACCATGTGGCTTAAAGTAATTTTTATCCATCTTATTTTTCACTCTTAGGCAATGCGGAATATCAATCCCAGCACAGCAAATTCTCCAAAATGTCAGGTAGGCTCTTATCTGATGTTTTAGCATTGAAAACAGATATTAAATTAGGAAAGAGAAAAACTTGTGCTCCAGGGGCCTGTCCTCACTGAAGATTAGCCCAGAGTAAATTTGAGGCATCTTTCTACCATGATACTTAAGTTAACATTGCTGTTCCCAGAAAGTTTACGCTATCTGCTCCCTCCCCACTTCTCCCAGAGTAGTATTCAAAACTCCGTAGAGGTCTTTTTTTCCCCCACATTTGATATGTAGTGTATACACCCTGTCAGCTTGAAGTGTGCCTGATTTTTTATTTGCATAGCCTAAAATAGTACTTACAATGATTTATAGAGATTAATAATTTGAACAGTAACAAAGGTAGTACAGGTTATTTACTTGGGTAGGCTACTTTAGGAAATCTTATTAAGAATTATAATCATACTACTAGGAAAGGAAAAGGTTCTTTTAGTGAACACTCCAAAGAAAGAATATTAAAATTATCAGAAGAGCAAAGGATCTACCTGAGTACTGTTTTGGGTTTCTTTGTTGGCTTTTATCAGCATTCCTCCCTGGTGAACCCAAAGGAACACTGGTTGTGAAGGTACCTTATTTAGATGGAAAGATTGTGGCCATTTTTTCCTTCTATAACATAGGCACTTATCTGACTCATGGAAAGAATCTCATTCTTGAAACCAAAGAGATTCTCCTTGTTCAGGGTTCACAGATTTGAAGGAATTAGGAGCTGGGGGATTATTGTACTTTTCTCAGATTGCCAGAAGCAACCATGAAACACCTCATATTCTGTGGAGCTCTTCTGCACTAGGCTAACAAGTGCATTGTGTTAGAATGAGCTGTGGAAGTGTGGGAATTGGCAGAACTCCACTCATTTTAGATACTGTTAACTGGTCCATTTGGAGCACCAGATAGAATCTTCATAGAGACCAGTTTACTTTGTGAGAGGAAAAACTCTATTCATTGTCTCTCTCATAAATGCCTCCTTTAATCAAGAAATCCAGGGAATAACTAATGAACGTCATCTTTGCTAAAGCAGAGCAGACATTCTTACGATGAGGACCTCTAATACCACATTTGACTGGGAAGAGCACTGTAGCATTGGATCTTTATATAAAGTGAAGACATTTTTCCTCGCTTTTTCTCTGAAGTATTTCTTTTATTTGTAATAAATGAAGTAGAAACATAGGAGCAAAAATTAATTCAAATGAGATTCGGAATCAAGCAAAAGGTTCTCCACGTTAAAGTGTTTTGAAATTGTTTCCTTTTTATTTTTTCCTACTAAGATCTTAAACTTTAAATTTGATAAGTAATTAAATACCTTCAGGTCTTTATTTCTTACTCAGTATAAGTGTAAACAGTTGCTCATTAAAATTATCAGGAGTTTTTAGATACTTCTTTTAGTAGTAAAGCTTCAGAAAAGTTAAGGTTTGTAAATTGCATTTCTATTAAATTTGTATGGTATTAAAATTACAGAGTTGATTCCTTAGATTTTTCTAAGCCAGAGCAGGAAACCTGAAAGAGATAGGTTTTATAAAAGGTTTTTTTAATTTAACTTTGCATATATGGATAATAAAATACTGCCTTGTCATATAAGATTCAGTTGTCAATGTATTTACCTGGCACAATTGTGAAAATGTATGAAATTCCAGTATAGGGCTAAATTTGGAGTTGCTCAAATACCCAGAATATGGTTGTATTTGTATCAAGCAAGTATCTGTGTTTTTCTCATCCTACATATTTTCTAGATTATCTTAAGGTAGGTGCCAGGAAAGATTCCACAAAGAAGGGTCATATCTTAAGTGAAGATGCCTCTAAATAAGGTTACCAGGATAATCAAGAAAGCCAGAAAGAGCTTTCCAGTCTCAAAAAACAGGAATAATGAAGAAAAAGGGATGGATCCATTCAATACTTGAGCACAAGGCACTCCTGTTCAGTGCTGTGAGGGGTTTGGGTTCTGTTTGTTGTTTGTTTTTACTTTTCTAATAGAAATCAGTGCAGATAAGTTAACAAGCAACATGAAACCAGTGGCATTGTTTTGTAATTATATATTTGCTGTGGGAAGGTACCAGACTTCAGAATGTTCACAAATTACTTGTTTCAAAAGCTATCCTTAAGTACTTCTGCATAGGATTAACAAAACCTGTCTATTGTAGAATTTCCTGGTCTTATAAACTACTGTCAGTATGGATGAGGTTAATACAAAATTCTGAAAAATTGAGACAACTTTAAAGGGGTTAGTATATTTTCTTAGTTAAAAATGGAAATTATTGCCTTAATTTGTTAGGGTTTGTTGGCAGAATTTTGGGAAAATTTGTCCTCATAGAGCTTTAAATTTTTAAATTTCATTTTGATTATTCACTATTTTTCTTTCTAAAGCAATTTCTGGTCTCAGAAAAAAAAAAAACTTTTTAAAAGTATAAACATCGTCTTTGCTCCATGAGATTGAACATGTATGGAATGCTCAGTTTTCTCTGTATAACTCTTACTAATACATCAGTTTCTCCTCTGTGACTGGAGGGAGACCTTTGAGAGAGTGGGTTAGGAATGCATCCCAGCTTCTGTTTCAAAGTCTTTTGAAACTAACACTTTGAGGAAAGATAGTTCCCCCTGAGTGTGAATGTTTTTACCTTCTCTTATGCTTAAGAATGTGGTTCTTAGTACCTGCGTTTCCCTAATACCTATGAGATCAAGCCTAAACTCTGCAACCTAGCTCATTTGTGGTCTGTGGTCAGTAGCCTTCTTTCTCTCTCTCAATTCTGGTTAAGCCAATTACCTTCCTTCAGCCAAGTGCACTCCTCTGTCTTGTTGCCATGATTCCACTCATGAGCTTTTCCCCATAAGGAGTACCTGACTTTTCCCCTTCCCTTTTACTGATTAAGATTCTCCATTTCCTTCGTAAGGCCTAGGTCAAAACGCATCCCCAAGTGCCCTCATCAGAATGCTTGAAACGACCCAGAAAATAGAAACAAGACTGCTGTGTATAGATAGCTTATCTCTGAGCAAATAATTGCTTTACTCTTCATAGACATTATAGCTATAAATTTTTTGCAACTAATGAATATTGTGTAGTCGCCATTCCTTATGGATAGTAATAAATACACACCAGGGTCAGTTACTGGGTTAATGCTGGATAAAACCCACAGTATTAATGTTGAGGATGTTGTACTACACTGTTAGCCCGAAATGGTGAAGAGATTCAGATGTCCATAGTTTTAGTCAAATAGAGCAAAATAGTACAGGACCCCTGTTCAGAGCCATGTGAAGATAATCACCACAGGTTTTTTTTTTTCTGAATTTAATAATAGCAAAGTTTTGGCTTTTTTTTTCCCCTCCAAACTCTCTTTTATGTTAGCAGATACTAGAAAAGCTTTTTCAGAATCCAATTAATACCTTTTCCAAGTTTATCTCGCTTCTTTTTGAAGTCCTAATATTGAATAAATCATAGATTCTAATGATTCTGTGAATCATTCTATGAATTTGAATCATGGATACACATCTTTTTAGTCAAAAAGGTTGTTCTGAAGTTGAAGATACTTTGGTAAATGGCACAAATATTAAAAAACAAAAAGCATTCTAAACATTGGCTAAATGTTTTAATAACTTCCAACATAATTAAATATTCTGTGAATGTTTAAAGCTGTGTTGGAAAATGAGGTATGGCAAGACCTATCTTGAACAGTTGGAAGAAATGGCTTTTTGTTTGTTTGTTTTTAAAATTGTTGACATAAACTGCTATTACTAAGACAAACTGTTTAAAAGATGTGTATTTTCAGAGTTATTCTTCATTTCTAAATTTGGATTTCTAGTTCGCTAAACTAACCTACCTTAAATAAATTGATTAGGTTGGAGAGGGGGGACCTTCATTTGTGTGCCGTATATTATCCAGAAATGAAACACTCTTACATGGTATTTGCTGAAGATAAAATTGCTTTAAGAAAGTAAAGTTGACATTAGCTTTACAGAATTTCTGTAAATGGAATCATAACTTTTTCACCTTAGCATGATTATTTTGAGATTCATTCATGTTGTATTTATAGTTCGTTCCTTTTTATTGCTAAGTAGTATTCCATTGTAGGGATATACTACAATTGTTTATCTGTTCACCTACTGATAGATATTTGACTTGTTTCTAAATTTTGACTTGTGTAGACATATGCTTCCATGTCTCTTGGATACTCTAAAGAATTTAATAACCTAGAGATATTCTAAATGTTTCCAGACTACTGACTTCTTCTACTGCCTTTCTCCTTATTTTTCTAAATGATGTGAACCAAAGCATCAGTTTTATATGGAGCCAAAATACTTTACTGCCAGATATATATTATCTTAAAGTATCTTTTTTACCCTATGAGAAATGATACTCCTATTTAAATGAGAGAAGGGAAATACAAAAAGGACCAATGGCTCATGGCTGGATCCTGAGTCCATAAAAGTCCACTATGTGAACCAGGCAAATCATGTTTTCCTTTATAAACCATCCTGGAAAGTTCCCTCCAGACCAAGCTGGGACCATCAGTTTTACTTATAGTTGCAGATAGCTCTGACTCCACATGCGTCCCAGATTAGCTAAGATTTACAAGCTCAATGGGAAAAGCCACCACATTTTTGTATTATTACAGAAGAAAATGAGCTAAAAATATTTGCTTCCTTTAGAAAAAGTCAAATACTCTAAAAGAACTGTTTGACCTTTGAAATACAGAAGCATGATAAATTTTGGCTGAATTTCCTGTAACTTGCTTACTTCTCCATTTTTGAAAGTCTGTCAAACTGTTTATTCTGACTACCTTTGGGAAAAAGAGAAGCTTAACGAACTTGTATTTTTAGCTCAGTATTCTAATATTAGACATTTGTTCAGGATAAAAAACTCCTTAGAGATAGACATAACTTTCAACATGAAGTGTTTCAACTGAAATCAGTTTTTGTAGACAATCCAGTTATGTCCCAAGGCTGATTTTTAAAACAGCTATGCCAGATTTACTCAATTACAAAATGATGTTCATATTCATCCAAAATGTGTTTTGACAAAATTAATTTATTGCAACAGAATGGGTTTATTCTACATAGGTACATGTAGATATATACAGGATTTTTTTTTTTTTTTTTTTTTTTTTTTGTGGTACATGGGCCTCTCACCGTTGTGGCCTCTTCCGTTGCGGAGCGCAGGCTCACCGGCCATGGCTCACGGGCCTAGCTGCTCCGCGGCATGTGGGATCTTCCCGGACCAGGGCACGAACCCGTGTCCCCTGCATCGGCAGGCGGACACTCACCCACTGCGCCACCAGGGAAGCCCAGGAATTATTTTTAAATGCATATAATGGAGAAAGTTTATATGAAATATTTTTGATTAAAAAATTCAGATTATTTAACTTCATTTCGTACTTATCCATATTAATTATTTTTCTCTAAAATCACTGGCCAAAAGTCTGTACAACTCTGAAACAAATTTTAAATATTTTACTTCTAAAATTATTAATTTTATGCAGTGTGTTCACTTTCACATTTACAATCCTTGGCTAAGGATACAAGGAATTACAAAGCTTACTCACAATGAAACCCATGATTTAACTATTCCTCACTGGCAGCAGGACAGCTTAGGGAGGAGCTCTTTCAGTTAGTTCTGACTCCACATTCACTCTCCTTCAAAGCCTGACTAGGTAAAGCATGGAGTAGATACTTCCGCAGATTTCCACATCTCTGTGTGGGGGTGTGTGTGCATGCATGCATGTGTGTGTGTTTATGTGGAAGTGGATGTTACTGTTTTTATATTCAGTTGAACTCTGAACTTATTGATATATGTTAAGGGGAGGGGGAAGTTAGCCTGTTTTCCTGCAAAATACATATGGTTTTCCTCCCCAATTTTTGACAATTTCCTTAAAATATCACCAGAAATGTTTCATCTTATTGAACCCAGTGAAATAAATTACGTTCACAGATGAAAATATTAACAAAAGAATTAATTGGGATTGACATATATACACTGATGTGTATAAAATGGATGACTAATAAGAAAAGAAAGGAAGGAAGGAAAGAAAGAAGGAAAGAAGAGGAAGGGAAGGAGGAAGGAAGGAAGGGAGGGAGGGAGGGAGGAAGAAGAAAGGAAGGAAGGAAGGACGAACGAACGAATGCCCTGGGGAGGGGGCTACCAAGTAGTCAAGTTTAGTTAAAGTAATTTTGTTTCTAGCAAATACTGAGCTATGTAAGAATATATACCCATTTTTGGATGATGTATGTGTAAGTTATTATATATCAATTATACCTCAATAATACTTTAAAAATTACTTCTAATCAACCCTGTTTGGTTGGTGTTGGGGTTTTGTTTGTTTGTTTTCCCTGTAACTAGAAGTTTCAAACCTGAGCTGAATATCCATACCTGGTATATGGGTTCTATAATCTATGTATATGTTATTTATATCATTGGCCTTACCACATTACGTTTGTTTTCATGCCGTATTCTTCACTATTTGGTTGATAATGCTAACACCGTCCTACCACCACCACCAGTAAATAAAGTGGCATTTTTTTCCCCTTGTTCCTTTCGAGTTCAGTTTACATGAATCCCTAGGTTAGTTACTCTTAGTCCTGGCTCAAATATGGATTTGATAAGAAGTATTTCCATAGCCTTTCAGGGGGTTGGATGTCTTCTCAGGCAACTTGTAAACATTGGCCTTCTTATTCACATCTCTAAATTACCTTTCACTGTAAATGTGGATAGTTGGTTCTTTAGTGTCTGCTGACAGTAGAAATTCAGTTGTTAAACGCAGCAAAAAGTAAAAATCTGATAGCTTCAAACAAGCAATGTGGCAGAATTCCAAGTAGCGAGAACATGGAGATTTTGCACATAACAATTAGCTTTAACTTCATAAAACCTTGAAAAAGTGGAAACCATCAAAAGGGGTAAAATAAAAGTTGTAAAAACAATATGAAAATTATAGCCAATTTATTAAGTTATTTCAGTAATGATGTATTTGCTTTGTGCTGCAAGGTTCAAAACTAGGTACACAGAAACATGAGTATGCCTTCCCTAGGCATCAGCCTCATCCAGAGCCTATAATTTTATTCACTTTAAAATTTATTGCTTTTGGGGCTGCCTTGGTGGATAGGACTCCGTGCTCCCAATGCAGGGGGCCTGAGTTTGATCCCTGGTCAGGGAACTAGATCCCACACGCATGCCACAACTAAGACCCAGCACAACCAACCAACCAACCAAATAAATAAATATTTTAAAGTAAAATAAAATTTATTGCTTTTAACATCCTTATATTTTAATAGCAACATAAATTCTTCAAAGTATTTAGAAGCTCTTGTTTTATGCTCCAAAATAGTCATTCATTTATTCATTTTGTGCCCTTAAGGGACAGAGAAGAAATAATTACAATATCATGTGGTAAGTGCTAAGATCATGTTACATACATATGCTCAGGGTGTGAAAGACATATTGTCTATCTGTCTAATCTAATCCAATCCGAAGATGGAAATGGGATCATTCTGGAGAATTAACCTAGAGAAGGTAACTGTGTCTTAAATAATAAGAAAGAAAAGTGTTCTAGTCAAGAGTATATGGAAAGACATGGTACCAAGAGAAAACATTTCATATTAAAGGCCTGCAGGGAGTACACTTTGTTTTAAAGTCACTTCTCACTTTGTAAGGTGAAAATGGGGGCAAGGGGCACATCAAAGATAGAAGATAGAGAAAACAAGTAAAATGGATCCCCAGAAGCTGCTAGGAGTGTGGGTTGGCCTAGAACGGGAGACAGCGGGAGGGAATCCATTTTCTGAGACTGGAAGAAAAGTTACAAAGGTGATGAATGAAGATGGCTTTGGGGGAGCAGGAAGAGATGACAGGAGGATCCAGAAAACCACAGATTGTTCCTGATGACCTCAGTGTTCTTATTTAAATGCGAGAGAGCTTGAAAAAGGAAAAGCACTTAAGTGAACAGGGTCTTGAGAGAGTGTGCCACATTTGGAGTAGTAATCATGAGAATGTGAGAAAAAAGTAACCAAGGACCCAAGAAAAAACAAAAAAACAATGAGTGGTACTAAGGAGGGCCCAGCCAAGGCCAAAGACTATTAGTTTATAACAGTCTGGATAGTTGTATGATTTTTCTGTGGCATTTCTTAGCAGTCTCAGTATAGAAATGAAGCAAGCACATTTTTAATATTGATTCATGGTTGGAATTTGCTGTGTTGAAATAAAATTATGTGTGTATCAGGAATCTGAAAGGTAATCATGTGTATTTAAAATGATCAGCCCTGCATTTAAACTTGTAGGGGAAGGAGAGCCAATAGATTGGAATAGTAGGAGGCAGAAGAAACTGGATGGAAAGAAAAAATACGGTTCCAGAAAGCGGGATGAGTACATGTAAGATTTCTGGGGAAGAAGTTTCTAAACCAGCTCAGGGTGTGACCAAGGAAGTTAATGACTGAAATACAATGGTAAAGTGGTCAATATCATTGCAATTTAGAGAGCCAGGAATTTCAGCATTAGATTACTGTATAGATTTTGTGCATGGATGTTGACAGTTCCCGGGTGGTAGATGCAGTTGCAATGAAGTGAAACAATGATCATTGTCCCAAACATGAGTAAAGATTGTAGAGGTAGGTTTGGTTTTGGAATAACAAGGCCTTGGCTGTGTAAGTGGGTGATTGAGGTAGGTAGGGATGAAGATCACTGGAATACAGAAATTCAAGGAACTCATGTCGAGTGAATCATCTATGTAATGTATAAGTAATGAGATATAGTGGCATGTCTTAAAATTAATATAATATTGAAATAGTAATGAATATAAATGGTATTTTGATACATTTGCAACAACTAGAGCATGATATGAAAATGTTTTCTATTGATGAAAAGTCAAAGGTATAGCAAATACTACTGTTTGTTGCCTATATTTATAATTGAAGAAAATGCTAGATTTTAGTTATAGGTTAATGAAAATAAAGATGTAAATTTTTTTCTCCATCCAAGTTCACATACCCTCTGCATTCTGTCATGACCCTCTGGTTAAGAAACCCATTTAAAGGATGGGGTATCTAGGAGGCAGAAACCTGAGTAAAAAGAAGTGGTTGTTGCGTAGTCTAGAAGTGGTGGTGCAGAGCTCAGAGAATATCTCCACTGCTTCTGGACCCAGTGGTGACTGGGAGTGAGGATGCTGGAGATGGTGTGTGCCTCAGCGAGCAGGCTTGGCTCAGGAAGGCTGCAGGGGGTGAGGTATGAAGGTGTAAGAGTTGGCCAGAGTGAGGTGAACTAGCCTTGAAGCCCCAGGCAAATATAAAGCTGAGGCCTGGAATGTTTGGAAGCACGTTGAGGCAGCCCTTCTGAAATGAGATCAGGGTAGTAATGGCCCATAGCTTTTGCTCAGTTTCCAGGTAGAATCTTGCTGAGAAATTGTTGGATGCCCCCGAAGACAGTTCAAGATTGAAAAACCTGAAGTCAGAATGAGTTACTTGATACCAAATTGTAAAACAATGCAGGAGGGCAGTGAGGAGTGTTGGTGTCTTGGTAAATCACCAAATTTTGTTCTTTTGACTTTATTTTTATTACTGGTGCCAAACATATAAAACCATATGAGGGTTGGTGAGTAAAAATAAACTGTAAGAAGAATTCTCTTTTGTAAAGATCAGACTTGCCATCCTACCCCAAAGGAGGGATTTAGGAGTGTCTGCCAGAAAAGGAAAATACCAAAAGGAAGCTAAGTAGTTAAGTATATATGTTTTGGGGTTAATAAGACTAATTAAACTTTCAGTTTATATAATTTAATGTTTAATCACTTGAAATGGATAGAAGAACCTGGTCCTTCTGATTGGGAAACTCATTAACTTTTAGATGTTAATACTTCAGCTTTATACGTACAAGTTTATTACTTTAAACCTAACGATAACTTTGTTAATCAATAGATTGATTCTGTTTATTTGTGTTGATTTTTTTCTAGGAATTAGCTCTCCGTAGCCAGTTACCAACACTGGAGCAGGATGGTGGGACTCAAAATCCAGTATCTTCTCCTGGGATGTCTCAGGAATTGAGAACAATGACGACCAATAGCTCAGATCCCTTTCTTAACAGGTTGGTAAGAGTTGCTACTGGCCAACATCTGAAAAAGATCATAGTTTTAAGGTGATTCTCCTTAGTACTTGTAATAAGCTGTTTGAACATCTTTGTGGGCCAAAAACCATAGCTGTAAATGAATCTCTCCATAAATGGCTAGTACAATAAAACTTGAGGATTAAAAGCTGGCTCGTGTGAGAGGAAATGAGCTGTTCAGACTTGTAGAGGGGATACTTATTCACAGTCACGTGTTTGCTTGTGCCTATACTGTTGAAAAACAGTTACTTGCAGAATCATGAAGGAACATGTGAATGCCTTTCTATAAAAGCAAATGAACTGCATCTTAAGCCTACTTAGGGCTGCATTGTAAGGATCATTAGAAGGAATTTTCCACGTAAGTGTTCAGCCTGAGAAGTTTCACTGCAGGAGCACTGTAAGGCCTCATGTTCTTAAGGGCTATAGGTCAAGGAGATAAAAAGTAAGGTTGTGCCTCTTTCAAATAATGTATTAATATTAAAGAGTATTGAAAATAACATAGTTTAAGGATGATTTTTAGTGAGTTACCACAAATCTTGGGTTTCAGGCATATTGCAAAGATGTTATTATATGTAGGGAGGGCTATGTTGAAAACTGCAAGCTGAGACAGAACATATTCTTTGCCTAGAAGGCCGTTTAAAATTAAGATTTGACTACAATTCTTTCTTCTAGATTGTCAAATATTTATGGAGTTTCAGCTTTTAAAGTAAGGAACAAATGCTTTCTGGTCTTTGCTTTTGTTTTTTTTAACCAATTTTAAACAGTGTACTTTTTAAAACATTTAAAGGTATTTTTGTTTAAGAAGGCTATAATGCTACCCTTTCAGTTCTCACCAATTGAATTGAAAACATCCTGATCCTAAGAAAAACAAAACACCTTGTCATACCAAAATATTTAGTACAATAGAATTTTCTGTCATTTGCTCTGTCTTAAGGTTAGTTAGTGCTGGTGCCCTAATTGGTAAGTTTGGTTTCAAAGGCCATCTAAAGGGTACTTAAGTTTGTATTTACTCTTCTGATATATGCAGTTTAAAGTTCTGCCAAAAATTGAGTATATTTATATAAGACTGTAGTTCTAAGCTTAAACTGAGGTTAATTAGGAAAGGTCATAGCCACAGAACTTTCTTTTCCACAAAGGAAATTTCAGATCAATATAATTCCAGTACCCGTCTTATTGAAGGCCTGTATTGATCCAGGGATGAAATTAGACCATTTGGAAAAAAATGGATAGACTGCATATCCTCCTGATAGTCATTTGTGCAGATTGTTTCTTAAAACTTTTGATAAGACCTGAGCTACAGTTTAAGATTCTATTTTCTGGTAAAGATCACAGAATGGAACATTACCCGTGTTGTTAGTCTCAGGGCAAAATTCCATGTCTACTCTCTGTAGTACCCCCAGGTTCTAAAACACACATCTGACTATAACATTTTTCTTTTCAGAAACTCTTGATGGTTTCCCCACTGCCCATCATTCGATTTATACATATTCCTTAAGCTCTAAACACTTGTTCCCCTAACTTGCCATGGAGTTGACTCTTAGTAGTGGTGGAACATCCCCTCATCTCCCTTTTACTCTGAGGTCTTTCAAGGCCAGCTCCCACATTCCCTTCCATGAAACCTTTCCCCTGTATGTTTCAAGCTTACTCCTCTTTGTTCTGAAAGCACTTTGCTCACGTAGCCCTTGTATATGATTCATTAACGTATTTGTTCACCTCCCTCCCTGAAGTTGTGAGCCTCTCAGAAAGCATCAGTTGTAGATTTTTGTTGTATCCTCAGACTATTCTAATCCCTATCACGTAGTAGCAGATGCTCAGTGAATGTTTATTGAAGGGAGGTTGGGGGGCTGGAGGGAGCAGTCCCTGACCAGGGAAATGGCCTTGTGAACTCTGTCTTCAGGAGTGCCCATGTGCTTCCCCTGGGGCTTGGAAAGAACTCTGAACAACTGTGTACATTCAGCTATTCTGTAACAGAGTCTTGAGTGTCTTGATATGTGCTCCGTTCTCAGCAGTGGGAATAGAGTGATGACTAGGACCAGGCCCTTGTCCCAGATCAAGACAGGCAAAATAAAAACAAACCACATCCTGAGACCTTCTCCAAAGTAGCTGCATTGTATACAAATGGTCTCAGAGGCAAATTTGTGTTTTCTTGGATCTGTGTGAGGCTTTTGAATCTTGCCAAAGTCTGACAGAAGCATTAAACTAGTGGTTGCAATATACAGAGTGAAGGGGAGGGAGAACAAGGCAAGTGCATTGAGTAATTTAGGAAAGAAATTTAGGGGACTGAGCTTTCGACCTTGAGCAACTATTAAATCTTGTTTTTAAAGCTTAGTTATTTTTTGTTTAACTTTTGTGTAAGCTAAACAGCTGTTTAAGTGTCCAAGCTGTGGAGAAAGTTAGAGTTTGCCCTGTAGTCAGAGACCATTACGAACAATTGCCTTTATTTCACACTTTGCCATAGTTTTTCTACAATTAGCAGAACCCCCAATTCTACAGGCGATGCCACCTGGTGTCTGCGTGCTACTAGGTTAGGAGAGTGTCGTATTTATGAAAGTAATAGTCTAAGGATATTTACCATACTTGTATGTAAATCTGTGATACTTTTCATTTAGCCTAAAGTAAAAATCTGTCTTGGCTCATAGTTTTCTGTTTTTCTCAAGGTATGTGCCTTGTAGTTTTTTTGTTTTTTGTTTTTAATCTTTCCTTCATCTGGAACTCTCAGGGCTCCTATCTCATGCTAAGGTGTTTGTTTGCAGCTCCCCGCCTTTCCCAAACAGAAACAAGGAGATCAAGCTAGGGAGTTCAGTTCTTATCGGCAGTGACTCATGTTTTGGCCCAGTCAAAAAAGAAATTCTGGTTCTTTATTTTGGTTTGATTTTTCTGGCTTAAACTCTCTGCATGAGAGCTAGGAATTTAGCATGAATCTAGTGCAGACCTGTCTCACCACCCACCTGGAGGTTGTGTTTTGACCTATGCCTGTGACCACTGCCACTTGGGGAATTGAGACCTTGAAACAAATGAACCATGTGGAGCCCCTAGATTCAAATGATACTAGAGAATATCTACACAGAGAATTTTCTGTCACCTAGGAAAACTGGAAATATCTTTCTTTTCCCTTATTGCCACCAAGCCCAGAACCTTAGGAAAATTTTGGCCCCCTAAAGTTGCCAGTTTCAATTAGGATTAAGTTGTCTGTTTCACCTCATAGCAAAAGAGCTTTGTATGGGCCCTGAAGGAGGGTGCTTGTTTCAGATGCTGCAGGGCAAGAATTTTCACTAATCCTCTTTGAGAATCATGTTGGTACTCAGCAGGTGTTTATATTTTTACCTTGAAATCATTTCTTAAATTTTTTGTGTTGGTCTTTAACTCTCATTCTTTGTAGTGGCACCTATCACTCTCGAGATGAGAGCACAGACAGCGGCCTAAGCATGAGCAGCTACAGTGTCCCTCGGACCCCAGACGACTTCTTGAACAGTGTTGATGAAATGGATACAGGTTGGTATTCTTTATTCCTCTAGCTTTCAGTGAGAAGTAGTCATTGTATTACCAGGTCTAATTAAACTATTGTGAGCAAAGATTATTCAGAAGAAAACCAATTGAGATCCTGTAAACTTCAATTCAAATTAAGTTTGCTTTGTGGGGTTTTTTTGTTTGTTTTGTTGGCATCTTGTAATTTCAGTCTTTTCCCAGTTTTTAAATGTCATGAATATCTCAGCTCTATTTGACATGACTTATTTTATATTTTAGCATTTAAAACATTGAGTTAATTGACAGAGCAGTTGAGGACCCTATTAGAAGTCTCTGTTATATGGATTTGTATTCTTTTTTCTTTTTTTTTAAATAATTTTATTTTATTTTATTTGGCTGTGTTGGATCTTTATTGCTGCTCGCGGGCTTTCTCTAGTTGCAGCGAGCGGGGGCTACTCTTCGTTGCAGTGCACAGGCTTCTGATTGTGGTGGCTTTTCTTGTTGCGGAACACGGGCTTCAGTAGTTGTGGCTTGCAGGCTCTAGAGTGCAGGCTCAGTAGTTGTGGTGCACGGGTTTAGTTGCTCCGTGGCATGTGGGATCTTCCCGAGCCAGGGCTCGAACCCGTGTCCCCTGCATTGTCAGGAGGATTCTTAACCACTGCACCACCAGGGAAGCCCCTGGATTTGTGTTCTTAATTTTGGAGAAGATCTCTATATGTGATTCATATGTCTCTATATGTGATTCATTGTCTGCTTCCCTCTTTTTTGTGAGGGTCTTTGGTCCAACTTAGGTGATATGGGGCTCAGGAAGCCAGGTAGGAAAGGCTAGGTGGTGGGGCTTACCTACTTTATTGTTAGAATAGTTTCAGGGATCTTGCAGAAGCTAAGAAATACCTGCGTCACAGGGGTAATTATAGAACCCTTTTTCCTGTGGATTAACCGGTGACCCTGGCCTTGGCAGCTATCAGAGGGCACAAATTGGCGGGGAAATGAAGCAGTTCTCCAGCTAGCTAGTTCTTTAGCCGGCAGCTTCTAAAAGTGTTTGGCAAGTCTTCTGTACCTGTGCTCATCCAGTTTATGGCTTTGATGCTTCTGGGAATCCACAGCGCCCTCTCTTCATCTAAATCTTAAATCATCCATAGGAGTTGCTTCAAACCCATCTCATTCATAACACCTTTCCTGACTCCTCTGTCCCCCCATTTCTCTCTTTAACACTTAATGGTTTATATTAGTTTTTCTGAAAGCATGTTCCATTGAAGTGTTAAGGAATGTTAACATTGTCATGGACAAAAAGGTTTCTTGGCAAGGTAAGTTTGGGAAACCTAGAAGCAAAGCTAGGAAGACTTACCTATCCAAGGACTTTTTGGGAGGCTTGTTTTTACTGTTGTGAATGTGAATCTCCTAAGGGTGGAATAGTTTTGTGCAGTTCTTTTATTCTGTTCCCCAGTGTGTACTTCAGAGAAAGACAGGTCTATACCATTCATTTTTATATTTTATCTTATTATGGTGGTGCATACCTGGAAGAGAGTCAAGTAGTGATGCTGTTGTGTCATACTTGTTCTTTCTCTCTTGCTGTATATAATTTTTTAAGGAATTTTTTTTCAGGACCCCCTTCACTGCTCAGCACATAGTAGTAAGCAATCAAGCTTGTTCAATATCTGAACAATTTTGAAGCAAAAGGAAACTTGCGTTGTTACTTTGCTATCTGTGAGTTGTTTGACCTTAAGTAAACTGTGGGCCAGTGGAGGAGGTCGGTCAGGAATGCGTTTCTTTCCCTGTGCATTTATGTATACTCACATGATACGGCTCTGATGTTAGCTTTTCAAAAAGGACCTATTCTCTTTCTCACTGTTCCATCTAGGTGACACTATCAACCAAAGCACCCTACCCTCACAGCAGAACCGTTTCCCAGACTATCTTGAAGCCATTCCTGGGACAAATGTGGACCTTGGAACACTGGAAGGAGATGGAATGAACATAGAAGGAGAGGAGTTGATGCCAAGTCTACAAGAAGCTTTGAGTTCTGACATCCTTAATGACATGGAGTCTGTTTTGGCCGCCACCAAGCTAGATAAAGAAAGCTTTCTTACATGGTTATAGAGCCCTCAGGTAGACTGAATTCTAAATCTGTGAAGGATCTAAGGAGATATACCTGAAATTTCCAAATAAGCCGGTTGTGATCTTCTGGCTAATACAGAAAAAGATGAACAAACGTCCAGCAAGATTCTTTCATCCACTATTTTGCTCTTCCTTGTCCATTGCTGCTGTTAATATATTGCTGACCTCTTCCATGTTTGGCTCTAAAGAATCAAAAAAAACTTTTTTTGTTTCTTTTGCTATTATAACTACTGTTTGTTTTGGGGGCTGGGGGAAGTGAGCCTGTTTGGATGATGGATGCCATTCCTTTTGCCCAGTTAGACGTTCACCAGTCATTTTAACTAAATACTCAGACTTGGAAGTCAAATGCTTCACGTCACAGCATTTAGTTTGTTCAAGCAATTGTTTCTTCAGCTGCCTTTGGCCAGTGGAAAAACATGACTTACTGGTCTGACAAGCCAAAAATGTTGTATCTGATATTAAGTACTTATGCTGATTTGAAGAGATAGCTGAAACCAAGGCTGAAGACTGTTTTACTTTCAGTGGGTTTTTTTTCCTCCTAGTGCTATCATTAGTCACATAGTGACGTTGATTTTATTTTAGGAGCTTATAAGGCTTGAGATAATTTCCATAGAAATATATTAATTATTGCCACATACTCTAGTATAGGTTTTGGTGGGTTTTATTGTGGCTTTTTGTTGTTGTTGTTTTTGGTTTCTTTTTTGTTTGTTTTTTGTCTTGGTTGGGGTTTTTATTGTTTTGGGGTTTCTTTTTTTTCTTTTTTTTTTTTTTTTTTTTTTGTTGTTGTTGTTGTTTCTCAGAACTTAGGCAAATTACCATTATAGTGAATCTGTTTATACTTGTAGCTTGGGACAGTTATTGTAGTTCCTTTGGTAAATCTACATGTCCTGGTTTTTTTTACCATCTTATTTAAATCTTGGTAATCTGCTCTCTCTATATATACCCACACACACACTTATAATGTTTATGATAGTGTGATAGCAGAATGTATCTTTTTTTTTTTTTTTAAGTTTTCCCTACTTTCCAATTTATTTTAAAATGGTAGCTTTGAATGTATGCATTTAGAATACATGACTAGTAGTTTATATTTCACAGGTAGTTTAAATCTGGTTGGGGCAGTCTGCAAATGTTGGTGGTAGTTTAGTGTTCTAGAAAGGGCTGTTATTATGGGTAGTGCCTAGAGGAGTCCTGTATGCCCTCTGGGCACACAATGGATATTATCTGATGAATTTGAAAGAAGCAAACAAGAAATGGCTTTATTATCCCCTGGTTAGTCCCTCAGACTAATTTTACGTCTTGATGGGAAATCACTGAGTTAGGTTCATAGTGTACATGACAGAAGTAAGCTTTATATAGTGGTTTACCTTCCTTTAGCTTTGAAAGTTTACCTTTGCCTTAGTTTTGGAAGTAAATTCTAGTACTTTAGTTCTCTTTTGTAATGAACACATTAAGGACTACATTGAAATATTACCTACAAAATCGTTCTTCTAAGACTTGCTTCTGCTTCTGTATGCTGAGAATTGACCCTGGATAGTATATAGAATACTGTAAGGTCATAAGTTAGCTGGTAAAGTGATCAGATTAATGTATATTGGTAGTTGAATTTAGCAAAGAAATAGAGATAATCATGATTATACTTTTATTTTTACTGGAAGAGATATAACTAGAGTATGTGTCTACAGGAGTAATAATGTTTTCCAAAGAGTATTTTTAAAGGAACAAAATGAGCATGAATCAAACCTTCAGTATAAGCTATGAAGTAATACTTGGTTGTGAATTATAGTGGTATCAGCTAGCACCTCTATGATTAAGGGTCTTTCAGTGTTTCTAGAGTAAGCCCTTATTTTCAAGGGTTTATAAGACATAAAATCTCTTTTCCTGGCTAAAACTGCTATGAAAAGCCTCAGCTTAGGAAGACAAGTGTTTTTTTTTTTTTTTTCTTTCTGATTACAGAATCTAAGCATTTTGACCCTTCAATTTAGAGGAGTGCAAAAGTTGGAAGTAAGAAGTTTTATATTAAGTAATTTCAGTGCTCAAAATGCAATCACTGTGTTGTATATAATGATTCATAGGTTGATCATTCATAATAATTGACTCTAAGGCTATTATTAAGAAAACAGAAGAAAGATTAAATCTTGAATTAAGTCTGGGGGGAAATGGCCACTGTGCAGATGTATTGATTTTTTTAGAGGAATAATGAAATTCTGCCTAGAATGCATAATTGAGTTTATGGATGGATGCTACAGCATGTTGGCTTTTTTATGTGCAGAAGATCAAAGCTACTTGGAAGGAGTGCTTACAATTTGCCATTAAGCCACAAATTAAGATCGCATTTTATATATCAGCAGAGTAGCTTTAGATTAGGGGAGAGGGTGGGAAGGTGGGAGGGGAGTTGTGAAGACTTAGTGGGACCTTGATAGAGAACTTTATAAGCTTCTTTTTCTTCAATAAAGACTTGTCTTGCATCTTGCTGTCATTAAAGTCAGTTGTTCCTAAAATTTTAATCACTCAAGTACACCCACAAAACAAAAATATGGAGTTCTTCATTTCCTCTCACCTTTAATTTACCCAGTTATACCTCAGTGTTGAAGCAGCACCGTGGTACCTAACAGACATGGTGCTTTGATCTTATCGTACCCTCTGTACTGATCTGAAGGAGACCTAAGCCTTTCTCTTTCTGAGTTTGAATCACAGCCTTGACGTGCTCTTCCTTGTTTTATGTCCTTATTCCTAATGTAACGTGTTTAACTGCTTCTTGGTTGTATTGGGTGGCATTGGGATAAGATTTTAACTGGGTATTCTTGAATTGCTTTTACAATAAACCAATTTTATAATCTTTAAATTTATCAGCTTTTTACAGTCGTGTTCTTTTGAGTTAGTGCTTCTTAGATCTACTTATGGTTGATGGAGCACATTGATTTGGAGTTTCAGATTTTCCAGAGCACTATTTGTTATAATTACTATTTTCTAAATATAGTGCCTTTTTAAAAAAAGGAAAAAATATAAGGAAGTGACTTTTATACAAACGATGTTGCTGTTTTAAGTATTCATACTAAATAGATGCATTCTATATGGAACCTTGGCAGAAACACTGAAAAACTACTTAATTGTGTAATTCATACCAGTCAGTGTTGAAATTCAAACAGTGCAAAAGTGGGAGGCAATATCAAATGATTTACAATTTCAGAGCTTCTGCACATCTGAGAAGGAATGCTCGGATCAATTTTATCTTCCATAAGCACGGTTTTAAAAGAGTTGTGGGTGTGCCTATCTTAACAATTGTTTTCTGTATCTTGAAAAAGTATTCTCCACATTTTAAATGTTTTATATTAGAGAATTCTTTAATGCACACTTGTCAAATATATATATATAGTACCAATGTTACCTTTTTATTTTTTGTTTTAGATGTTAAGAGCATGCTCATATGTTAGGTACTTACATAAATTGTTACATTATTTTTTCTTATTGTAATACCTTTTTGTTTATATGGTTCAAATATATTCTTTCTTTAAACTGTTCTTTGTTGTTTTTAACGATTAATATATTTAAAACTTTTTTGGCTTCTTAATGGTCTTCCAATAGAACAAGTATTAGTAATAAAAGGTGATTACAGGGGTAACTGGTAGACAGATTAAACTTAAGGTTGGTTTGGCATTTGGAACTTTTGTAGTATGGATATAATTCTTTGAACTTTATGTTCCGTACTCTTCCTGTAGACCATCCTCATCAATAATAGTGTGTGTGTGTAAGCTGAATTGTATCAGCTTCATTCTTAAATGATTTTACTTCATGTAACAGCACAGAAGAAACTGTGGTTTCTTTCAAAATAGCCTTTGGTTTTATTTCTCCAAAATATTCTCTTAATGATCTCCAAAATATAATATATTAGTGAAAATTATCAGTTATTATTTTATAAATACACAAATTTAAATGGTAGGTCCTAAACTTTGAATAAGAGGTAGATTTGATTGTCTTTGAAAATGGTTTACTTCTGTGTTTGTGTATATAATATCTTCAATTATTGACACATCATTTTTGGTGAGGCAAATCTGAAAACAGTGTTTTATTATGTATAATTTCTTTATGATAGTAGAACACTAATTTTGTGGAGCTTGAAATTTATCGTTCCCCTTGTGCAAAATGTAGTGGTTGTAGATTTTAGCTCAAAACCATACCTTGTATCTATAGACATTGCACCTCTTACTAGGGAGTTGCTCTAAGAGGTGGTGTGCTTTATGTTGGATGACTTGAAGTCATTCTGGAGCCTGTGAACCAGAATTGTACAACCTTTTAGGTAACTGATTTAGTCAGTCTGTGTCAGTAAAATACTCAGGAGAAATAGCCTCTAGAGAGAACAAGGACTGGTAACAAAAGGAAACATTGGTGATAACTGCAGGGGGTGGTCAGCAGACCAGTGAGTTACATTTAATCTCCCTTGATTTCCATCTTGTCAGCTGAGGTTGTAAAAGAAGAGCAGCCCTAAGGACACCCATCACATTTTCTTACCTCCTGTAATGGCAACTAGACCATCCCTGGTCCTGGCAACTGTCAATTATATTGAAAATCTGGCTTTATTTGGTATTTATGAGTAAATTCACATACTGCTTTCCCCTGGGCTTCAGGGTTGCATGTGCACTAGTGCTTCTGGAATCAACCATGTCTTTGGCAGGGTGTCTCCATGTTGTCCCTATCCTGCTTTAAACTGTTGGCATTTAATTGCTTTATTTAAGTAATCCTGAAAAACTTGATAAACAGTCTTCTTCAATTAAAAATTTACTGAATCAGATATCAGATGAGAATTCTGTGACATTTAGTGCTACAGTTTTTCCAAATCAAACATGGAATATTTTTTCCAATATTTGGATACAAAAAGCTCTGATATAAGTAAAATTAATATTTTTCTAACCATAAACATAGCCTTAAGCTGGCAAACTTAATACTACCACAAATGAAAACAGTTGCAGAATCAAGACACTAGCAAACAAGATGATATTGAAAAGATACTCTGAATTTTTTAATCTGTCATATTTTAACCAAAAACAAAATTCCTGAACTAGGTGACTTGACATCTAAGCTGTGAGGACCCTGTTAGAAGTTCGAAACAAAACTGGATCTGTGTGTGTGCTATTTGGAGATAATCTGAGCAAAGAGTCTAATTATGTAAAATTCCTAAACAGCTAACCTGGCACTTGGAATTTTTTTTTTTAAGTGAAACTATTAAATACTAGAGTTACTGTAACTTTGTGAAGTTGATACTGGTTTATATGCAAAGTAAATGAATGGACAGTGCTTAATTCTTACTAAAGGAAACCTCTCTAAGAAACAACAAAAGAAAAAAATAGCATCTAAATCAGGAAGATGTCCTGTTACTTAACGTGACTTTTAAGGCTGTTAAATTATTTCTTAGGGTTAGGACACAACTTTACCCATATTTCCTTATGTCTCAAGTATATTTTATGTTGAGACTATAGTTCCTATGACCTTCACAGAGTCCCTATAAAGTAGTCTATGAGCTAAACATCACCTTTTTTTTTTTTTTTTTTCCTCTTGGTACGCGGGCCTCTCACTGTTGTGGCCTCTCCCGTTGCGGAGCACAGGCTCCGGACGCGCAGACTCAGCGGCCATGGCTCACGGGCCCAGCCGCTCCGCGGCATGTGGGATCTTCCCGGACCGGGGCACGAACCCATGTCCCCTGCATCGGCAGGCGGACTCTCAACCACTGCGCCACCAGGGAGGCCCCTAAACATCACCCTTTGAGTATAATTTTCATTGTAGGATATTATTAGAAATCACACCTCAGTTCCATTTAAGGATGTTTTTATTAGTTACAAATCAAGTTCTTGTGTATAGTGGATTTACACAGGATTAAAATGATGCTCTATGTAGCCAGTTAGAAGAGAAATTCATTTTCTCAAAGCTGTGAATTAAGTGGCAGAATCTGAGGAAAAAGCACTGCTGCATTTCAATAGTATCTCTATGAGCTACCAAAGCCAACATAGTGATAAATGGACTAGGAAACTGGGCTGAAGATCATTTCTCCTAAAGTGAGCTTTGTAGCAACTTGTTTTTAAGCACCACTTTCTACCAATTAAGAGGTAAGCGTATCTATAGCCAGGGTTCAACAGAGGCATCTCATTGGCTCAGTGATGAAGATCTGAATGATGATCAGAATATCACAGCTGTATGAGATTCCAATCACTGGGGTGACCATGAATCAGGACCTTAGATTTTATGAAAGATACAAAGAATCATATTCATGAACTGCCAGCCTACTGAGTAGCTTGAAGTCACACTGTGCAAAGCTACATGTGCAGTATCTTCTGAAGGAGGCCATCTGCTGAAGTGTTTCTTCTGGACACCAACAAGTCTCTTGAGCCCTATAATATAACCTCAACAAGACTGGCCAGAGTAGAATATGGACTTGAGATTTAGTTGTCTTTTACAATCCAAACCTTACACAGCATGAGCCCATGTACTGTCCAGTCGAAAAACAGCTGATGCCTCATGGGACATGTGTATGTTAAACAGCTCTGAACTCCCCTTTGAGGGCACATCTTTGATCTGGAATGGAGTGGAAAGCCCTGGCTACATCTGGAATGTTGTTTAGGAAATTTAACATTGATTTGAACTAAAAATTAGCTATTGACAGAATCCCGATCAGTCTTCTAAAATCAAAGTTCTCAAGGCCTGAACATTTCCTACAGTTTCATCGTTGTACCGTGCTAAATATGGCAAGTTTCAAAAGCAGGTTCTTCCCCATCAAGCTGACATCCCACTGCCATCACTTACTGTGGGGCTTGAAGACTGAAACTTTTGCTATCAAGGGTAAAGTGAAAATACTGTAATTTATACAGCCTCTGACACTGGTTATACGGACCAAAACAAAATGTTATAGGGATAACTGGTAAACTATTGAGATTCTTTAAAAGCAATATTGTTTTTCAACATGA